GGGAGCCATCAAATCTGTGGCTAAATAGCTAAAAAAACAAAAAAAAAAACACACAAAAAAAAAAACTAGAAGCCTTGTCCTCCACAGTACCAACTTGTTCACTACTCTTTGGTCTTCAATGGGCACAAGTCACATGTTTACCCAGCACCAGAGAATTCAGTCAAAAGCAGAGCTCCCCAGCTGACCAAGCAAAGCCCCAGGTGAGCAGCCTTCTGAGCCTTGTGCTTAAGGACACAAGCTACTGAGAGGCTTCAAGCCCATCACCAGAGAGCTCTGCTGGGACAAGTCTTCAAGCCTCATCGCAGTGTATCCCATATATGGTGTGCTCGAAGGACGCCGTTCTAGGATGCAAAACTATCTTTGTTATTATGAAAAAACTAGTTTTCCTAGCAAGAGTTGGGAATTGAAGAACATTTGCCAATTTCTCTTAAGCCGTCAGAAAGAGGAACTGCTCCTGACAGCCAAAAGCCAGTTACAAAGATAAGCAGCGTAATTCTGCCTTACAGGGGCTTATCATTTTCAGTCTGAACCATATTTAAATATCTCAAATAAAATACTGAATTCACCAGCTAGTCCTGGGTCACACGGCTCAGCCCCAGCCAGCTAAGGCCTCTCTGTGAGACATCTGTTCCCCCTAATCCCCTTGTCAAGGAACTGATCAAGGTGTCCTCTCCTAGAAGAATGAGCAACCAGACACACAGACACAGAGACACAGACACAGACACACACACACACAAACATATACACAGACACACACACACTCACCACACACACACACAGACACACAGATGCACACAGACGCTCGAGCATGTGCATCAAGGTGTCCTCTCCTAGAAGAATGAGCAACCAGACACACAGACACAGAGACACAGACACAGACACACACACACACAAACATATACACAGACACACACACACTCACCACACACACACACAGACACACAGATGCACACAGACGCTCGAGCATGTGCACACACTGGGGAACGGCTCAGCTGTTAAGAGTACATACTGCTCTTGCAGAGGACCGGACATCAGTTTCCATCACTCACATAAGACAGCGTATGATAACCTGTAACTCCAGCTACAGGAGATAATGACACCCTGACTTATAGACACCTGCACACACCCACATACACGTACATACATGTAATTAAAAATAATAAAAATATTTTTGAGACATCTCACTGGGTAGCACTGGCTATTCTGGAACTCACTATGTAGACCAGGCTGGCCTTAAATTCACCAAGATTCACCTGCCTCTGCTTAGGATAACAGTGCAAAGAAAACAATGACTACAGAATGCAAGGATGGGCTTTTCAATCAGAAAAAACAAACTAACAGGGGTCGAGGGTCGAGGGAGACATCCATTACATCCCCCACCCGGTGCTGACTACCACATACACACACCTCGGGCTTTATAAGCACTGCACTCCTTCCTTCCTCTCCCCATCCATAACTAAGGTCTGCCGCAGAGCAACCAGACACCAGCTACCCTCTGAAGAAAAAAATAACCTGATGTCTGCTGATTCCTAGCTTTGCCCTGAGCCCGGGAGACTCCCGAGTAGCCACACAGCATGCTTCTCCATGGACCATGAACTCTCCCTTACAGAGACAACAGGCTTCCCTCTCACCGAAGCTGTGTCCTAGAAATGATTTCCTCAAACAGTTGAAGACTTTATGGAAACACTACTGACAAACCTCTGCTCTCTAAGCATCACACCTATCATGGGCTCTGGCAACCATATTGGTGATATATGATTCCATATGCTTCCACCACCCCAGCCAGGATTCACAGGGCCCCAAAGCTAAGGTGAAGGCAAGCGGGCTTTCGCCGGGCAATGGGATCTCAGATTCTGGGCTGGTGTTCAAGCCTCCGTCCATCTTGACCTACAGGCTAAAGCAGCCATTGTAAGGCATCATCACAGCAGCAAATGCTGGACTAGAAGGAGAGAGGGGAAGAAATACAGAACTCAAGAGGAGGGGCAAAAAGAAAGGCCTTAAAACTCAGAGGGCTAGCATCAGCTGGATGCAGATGGCCATGTTCATGGCCCTAATCCTCTGAGACTCCTGATGGTGTTTCCTGTGCTGGTGTCCTGGGAGATATCTGATTGGCACAGTACCGTATCCCATTTTTGCTGAGAGTCACTTTCAACCAGGATAACTTCCATTAAGTAGCAGGCATTCTGGACACTACCAGAAGGGTGGGTCAAACAGTTGCTCCACAATGGGGAGCAAGCCCACCACTGTGCAACACACTTCTCTTATTCATCAACTTCCTGCTGTTTCACCAATTCTCTGTATTGTCTCCAAGGAAGGAGTGACCTGTCTGTGCACAATACAACCCTGTCACCACCATTGTCCACAGATGGTCAGGGTCCTAATAATCGGCCTAGCAATACTGTCCTAAAAATAACACTGGAAAAACTAACCCAGCATTTCATTTCTTCAAACACACTTGACTGACCCACTGCAGTGTGTGTGTGTGTGTGTGTGTGTGTGTGTGTGTGTGTGTGAGAGAGAGAGAGAGAGAGAGAGAGAGAGAGAGGAGAGAGAGAGAAAGAGAGAGAGAGAGATTTGAGATACTGTTAACTAGGAACTAGACTATCCTACAGTTCAGCTGCATTTGTGAGTGTAAGCTGGTTCACTTACTCAGGAGCCCCACACAGAAACCCATAGATACATATGCACATTTGGGGCATTAACTTGGAAAGCCTAATGATTAGAACACAAACTCAAGACAAATTTGGACTACCGCCTCAAACCCTCAGAGCCCTTTAACAAGAACAGAGACTGGAAATTCTAAGAATTTTACATGGTTTATAAATTATTTTCTCCCAAAGCCTTTGTATTATTATTATTTTACACTGGATAAGACCTAAGTGACTTCTCAAAGGTCACCGGCTTAGTAATGCCAATCCTCACTCCCAACCTCTTTCAGAAACTGCCTCCTGTCCTAGGCTGTGAGAGTATATGGGTCATTTATTTAGGGGCTCAGTTCCTTTAAGATTGTGGCGAAGAAGAGTAAGTCAAATCAGCATATTAGCACAGTGCTGAGCAGATGACCAGGCAGTACAAACTGCTCAGTAAAAGGTATTTATTATTGCTAGAGTTCCCAACTCTGAGTCTGCACTGAGTGCTTCAGGCAAAGGGACATTCGGTTCTATAAATTACACGTTCTCTGGAAAACAGCCATTTGCAAGCTCTAGGCAGCCAAAGAAAAAGGAGCAAATTATAAGCAGTATTTATCTTGGATATGGTCTAAGATCTCCAGAACAGAGTAACAGATAACCAACGCTGGCTGGAAAGCAATGACCACACTTGAGGTTAGGGGGCGCCATGCCATAAGAGGGACCCACTTTCCCCAGAGACTCCAAACCCCACTTTGCTACAACAAAGGAAATGCAGACAAATTCTAACCAGCTTAGTTTTGACAGGGAAAGGTAACAAACAGTTCTCCCACAGTTTCAAGGTAAATATCCTTGTTTCTTCCCAATAGCTTTGTAATCCCACTCACATTAGTCAATGACCTTTACAAGTCCAGCAAAAATAAAATAAAAATGTAACAAGGGTGCATGTATTCATAAGCACAATGAATAGAAATTTAAAGTATATTTTAAAACAATAAAAAACTAAATGTATAAAACTGGCAGTTGTTAAAACTGCCTGATGGGAGGTCATATTAGCCTATATACATTTGTGTATATTTGAAATTCCCTCAATCAAAAGTTATAAATAAGTTTAAAATCTGGACAAATTCTCTCTCTGAAAAAAACTCCCCTACCCTGAAACTATAAGCAGGAAACTAGGTCTATCTATATCAGTACTGTGGGAAGCAGCACAAAATAAGGACAGGGAGGGAGGGGAGAAAGGCACGCAAGCAAGAAAACAGGCCAGTGAAAGGAAACCAGTGCAGCCCCTATAGACAGGATGTGCCTGACAATGCATCGCTAGTGAACTCCAGTAAGGGACTGGAGGCTGCGGTCTTTACACAAGTAAACCAAAGTGCTACAGTTTATTTTTTAAACTATACTAATTGTTTGTTGAAGCTTGTTTTTCGTTTGTTTGTTTGTTCTTTGTGTTTGTTTGTTTGTTGTTGTTCTAATTAGCCAGGGAATAGCCCAGTGTAGAGGTGGACTTTCTAAAGGGTATGAATTTGTTCCAAGAACAGCCGAGAAAGCTGAAATCTGGATAAGGAAAGATGCCTCTTCTGAGGTGAGACAGATTTTCTCTTTTCATTGCATAGGCACCTTCTGACACAGCTGAAAAGTTACTTACTTAGTCCACCCAGAAGAGAACCTGAGATGGAAAAAAATCTACAGAGCTCGCTTGCTTCCTTACCCTGGGTGATTTTTTTTTTTTTTTAATTCTCTTTGACTTAAAATCCAGCTTGGGATCCCCGTCATCCATGAACTCAAAGCTAAATAAAAAATAAATTTTAAACTCTGTTAGTGACATGACTTATCAACTAATCTCAGTCTCCCTCAGAAATGGGGATTTATTCCTAAATCATAGAGGAAAATTTCTTTTACACCCAGGTTTGTTAGGAACTTTACAAAACCAATAAGGAACCATTTGTCCTTTCAAGTTAAATCTCCAAGTGTCTCCTGATACTGAGACTAACCCCAGGGCTGATAAGCAAGTTATTTAGTACAGAAACAACACTGATCAAAACACAGATGACCTTGGAGTCTACCACCAAACTGTTGGAGAAAACAAACAAACAAAACCCCTACCATCATGCTCCAGCATAATTAGGCTAACTCCACTCCCAAATCCAACTAAAATGCGGAAGCCAGAACTTTCTTCTAAGATTCGCTTTGGGTCCAAGTGTCCATGGGGACGCTTGTCAGACAGTCAGGTCACATCCTCCAAGCTTGATGGCAGTCTGCAGCTCCCCTACGTTACTCATCCATCTCAAACCTTCACCTCCAGACATTTCTAGTTGACCACTTACTTGCTTTTTTACAAGCATGCTCTTTCCAGCTTTGGGGACAAATAAGATTGCAATAGTTTATCCTGAAACCAACACTGAGAAACCTCATGCTTATCAACCACATGCATGGATGCTCATGGTCCCTCAGCTGCTAGTGGGCTCTGCCTCGCTGCTCTTGAGAAGTTTTAGTGATTCTGAGAGTTCCTTGACCAGACAGCAACATATGGACAAATCACTCTGAATTGCTCCTGGAAAGAGGATTTGACTAGCGTTAAAGAAGAAGCCAAGTAGCCAAGACTAACCCAAAGTAAAGCCTATGCTCCATTTCAGTGCCTCCACCTCCCATTGGCCTGCCTGCCAGTGTACACCTGGAAACGTTTCCAAGACAAATCATCACCACCCACTGCACCATTTCCGGCTCTGTGAACAGAAACAAGGTTTCTACCCAGAGGCACTTCACCACTCTCTCCAAGGATCTTATCAGGATGTTTAAGTGGACTTTGTCATGCGTGCATAGGAAAAGAAAGGCGCCGGTGTGAGGCTCGGCACCAGGTGAGGATTTTCAGTTGGGTTGATGGGTCTAAGCGAATCCTGAGCGGCGAATCCTGAGCGCTAGGGGTCAAAGGCTGCACGCAGAAACGGAGTCTCACCGTTTCACACAGCAAACTCTTCCTGCCCACCCCACCAGACTCTACAAGCCAGCTAACAGAAGGCAAACATTACACTTGTCTCTAGTAGAGTTAAGAGTGCCTCTGGCTACAGAGAAGGGCAGTACCCAGTGGCTTTAAAGCAGGCACTTCGGATCATGGACATCTTTTCCCTCCACAAGCCAGTTGTCCTGCGGGCATCACCAAAACCAGAGCGATTCTTTCAAAGTCTGCAGAAGCTCATCATGATGACACACCTGAGCCCCTTAGCGAGGACTTTTGGTTACGGAGGTGGGCCGGGAGGTGGAGGGGACGCAAGGGAGCAGATAAGGCAAGCTGACTTCTTGGTTAAAAACCAAAGTTCACTTTAGCCCAGCGAAGGAGACACAACACTCCGAACGAAGTTTTCCCGTCCCCGGCAGCGGCAGCTGCGGCTGGGCGCACGCACGCATCCTACCTTGGACCTCTCCTTGACATAGTATTTGCCCAGTCGGCTCCCGCAGTACAGGACCAGCCTGTCGATGAGGGACAGGAGGAAGTTGATGGCCTCGCAGCCCTCTTCATTGCCCCCGATCCACGTGATCTGGTCGCCCCGCAGGTGCCGCTTGGAGACGCCGGCGCGCGGCCCCGCCAGCTGGCCATCACGCAAGGCCCCGTTGTAGTGCAGCTGCTTGACTCGCTCCAGCACGCAGTCGCCCACCACCTCGCCTAGGAAGTTGTCCAGGTAGCAGAAGCCGACCTCGTGCAAACAGGGCACGATGTACTCCAAGGCGATCTTCTCCAGATCCAGCCTCATGATGTGTCCCAGAGGCATCTCGCCCGCAGAGCCAAAGCCGGGGACCCCCACGGTGCACGCGCCGAGGGCTTGACCTGCGCGAGCGCACAGCCGAGTTGCAGAGAGAGCCGGGCCCCGGGCTCACCCACCTGCGGCGGCCACGGTCCCTGAGCCACTTTAGCGCCAGGGGCGGGGAAAGTTGCTCGTAACTCTGGGGAGAAGGGAGACCCGCTCCGAGACCGCCGGGAGCAGTGTGGGGCTCCGCCACCCAGCGCCGGACTGGCCCAGGGAGAAGTCGGAGGGCCCCTTTTGGAGATGCAAAGCCACCGCCAGCCGCGGCGGCCGCAGCCGGGGGAGGAACAAGAGGAGGCCCCGCCTTGACCTTAACGTCATGGTCCCGCCCGCGGCACAGCCCTCCTCGGGGGCCCTTCCTCCTGGACTGGTGCTGCCGAGGCGAGCTCAACGCTAACCTGTGTGTGACCCAAGAAAGGGCTGGAATTTGTTTTTTATTTTTAATGCTCTAGATTTGCATATTGTTTTGCATAAAATCCCCTAACAAACTTGAAAACCTGGATCCCAGATCTGAGACGTACATGAACTTAGCCTCACAGTTTACTGCCAGTTTCTGGGCGTCACCTTTCTAGTGACTTTCTTAACCGTTGACCTCACACTAGCTTCACCTTGTGTCTTTCTGTCCTCCTTTTTCCTCTTCTGTTTGACTCGGGTCTGGCAGTTCCAACCCCGGAGAGAGTGAGATCAATCCAGTTTTTTACTGAAACCGATACATTAACAAATGTTCCTCTTGACCCCCCTCTGTGCCTGGCGGCTATGCACTGCTGAGCGGTGGGAAGAGGCTTTACAGGAAGGGAGGGGCGTTGCCAAACCCTGCAAATTGTTGCATTTTGCCTGCAGGAGATGTTCATGCCCCACTTACTACTCAAGCTTCTTTCTAAAAGGTTCTGAAAGTCTACCTCAAATCACTCACGCGTTCCCCAAAAGATACACTGTGTTCCAGGTGTCTCTGACCTTTGCCACAAGCAACTAGACTTGAGAGGGAGTGCAAGACCCTACCTAAAAGACTTAAATATCTACTGATAAGTTGGTGTCTGTCTAGATTTCTGATGCCCTTTCCTTCCAAGTACTAGAGGGGGGGACGGAGGCAAGGATTGAGGCTGGCGTGCAATTCTGAATTTCACATCTTTGTACATTTGGATTTTCATTTAAATTGAATGAAAAACTGCACGGGTCTTTCGGGGGTCGTGTGTTTTGGACATAAAGCCCCTACAGCTTTTTCACTTTTGTTTTCCTCCAAATAGCCCCTCTCCTCTCCTCTTCTGAGGGGAGAAGTAGGGTGCAGTTCGTGCCAAGAAAGGGAGGCAGAAGGAGGAGTGCTGGCAAGATGGAAGAAGCCTGAGGGAGACCCCTGGGGAGTGGCAGTCAACAGTGGAGGATGCGAGCAGCTTTGATGAAACCCAGCCAGCTCTATGGAGAACAGGCCCTGTCAGTGCTCAGTTGGTCTCTTGGATATGTCCGTCCAGGAGGAGGTGCCTGCCCTCCCTTATGAGAAAGGTTCAAATTGGCCTGACCTTAAGAAGTTGTCAACAGAAAACCCACAGCTGCACCAGGGTGACAGGAGCCCATGTCCTTGGAATAGCACATGATGCCAGCACATGATAGATGGTTTGAAAGTAGTCCCTTGAGACCCAGAACCTGGGCCCTGCAACCTCCACTTGGGATTTTAGACAGGGAGTCAGCAGGACAGATCCTTTTGCAAGAGGGACAGAGGAGCCTCCCAGGGTATTCACTGGGACAAGAACAAGACCTCAGTGGCCACTGGAGGGGGACAGTGAGAACCTCTGCAGGACACTCTTCTCGACAGACCTGTCCCTGTCCTGTCCCAGTAGTGGTAAATAAAGCAAAGGCTGGAGGGTTATTTATCTCCTTTGGGAGCAGGATGGAAACGAATTACAAAGAGGAGGAAGGGCCATCTCCCCCGCTGTTATCTGAACCTCTTGTCTCTAGAAGCCTCTCTGAGCCCTCCTGTGCCCTTCTGCAGGGACACCATAGGGTAGCCAGGTGAGGTTGGGAGTACCTTAGGGCTTTTGTAGCTTGGAGACTGTAGACCTCAGAGTAGACAGCTCTGAAGAGGGTCAGAGTAATAGGTAGTTCTTGGAAGCTGGTCAAAATTTTTCTAGCCTATGGTTCCTTTTAGGTCCAACCCATATAGTGGAGTTTTTTGTTTGTTTGTTTGTTTGTTTTTTTTATCAGGACCACAGGCTCCCCAGTAACAAACAGAGAGACATTCAAGTTAATTATAAATGCTCGGCTAGTAGCTTAGACTTATTACTAACTAGCTCTTACAACTTTAAATAAACCTTTTTTTTTTTTTTTTTTTTTTTTTTTTTTTTTATTTTCTCGAGAAAAGGTTTCTCTGTTTAGCTTTGGAGCCTATCCTGGCACTCTCTCTGTAGACTAGGCTGGCCTCAAACTCACAGGGATCCACCTTCCTCTGCCTCCCAAGTGCTGGGATTAAGGGCATGCACCACCAACGCCCAGCTAACCCATATGTTTTTAATATGTGCTCTATAACATGGCAGTACCTTTTTTTCAGCATGGCATATTTATCTCGTGCTTCCTCTGCATCTGGCTGGTGACTCCCTCCTTTTTTTAAAAAGATTTATTTATTTATCATGTGTATAATGCATGACAGAAGAGGATACCAGATCCCATTACAGATGGTTGTGAGCCACCATGTGGTTGCTGGGAATTGAACTCAGGACCTCTCTGGAAGGACAATCAGTGCTCTTAATCCCTAAGCCATCTCTCCAGCCCCAACTCCCTCCTTCTTAACCACATTCCCTCAGTTTGGCTAACCTCTTTCTGCCTAGCTATCGGCCGATCAGCTCTTTATTAACAATGGGAGCAACACATCTTCACAGTGTACAGAAGGATTATTCCACAGCACCCATATGCTGATAGAAGGGAATTTACAGAGGCCTGAAAACCTGCAGTCCTTGTGGAGGGGTTGGTTAATAAAACAGAAAATCATATATCCACATCTGGGATGACCATGTTTACCTGTAACTTTAAATCCTAGGACTGAGTCATTTAACTTAATAGTCAAACAATATTTCCATAATTTCAGAGCTCAGTGGCTTCTAGTGTAGTCACAATGAGAACAATAGTTTAAGCAGGTTCAAGCCTGAAGCTGTTCTAGATGACTTTGGTTCCAAAATGTGGGCTGTTGAGGAAGGGAGTCAGCCCTACAGTACTATCCCTTCTCACCAAGGGCGTTTACTAATCAACCACAGACCTGCCAATCAACTCAGGGCTGCCAGCTCTGAGTATAGTAAGGGAGTCAGAGATGCTGCAGCTGGTAGAAATCAAAGTTCATGACTACATAGAGGGCACAGACAATTAGGAGCCAAACAGATTCTGAGGCTGAACACCAGTCAGGCAAAACCCAAGTTACTTTTCAGTACATGTGTTTCAGACATTTGTCTATTAGCTTGTATCATTTTAAAAATGAATATTATATTAATCAGCTTTCCATAGCTATGACAAAGTATCTGAAGCAATAGTTTAATGAACAAAGGTTCATTTGGGCTCATGGTTTTTGAGGTTCAGTCCATAGCCTTTCGGGACTGTGGCAAGGTCTATTGTATTGGAGAGAGCCAGGAAGAGTGATAGAGTCCAGGGTTCCAGTGTGTGATACAAGGGTGCACTCCCAGTAACCTAATTTCTTTCTGCTAGACCATTCTCCTAGAGGTTCTATTTCCCAGTAGTGCGGTGGGTTGCCAATCAAATCTTAACATATGAGCATATAGAAAACATTTAAGAGCCAAACCATAGCAAGTATCAAAATAGCTTTTCAAAAAACATAAATATACCAACTTTCTTATCTTTGATTCTGTTGTGATTAAATACCCTGACAAAAGCAACACAGAATAGAAAGGGCTTATTTTAGCTCCGAAGTCACAGTCCATCATTGTAGGGAAGTCACACTGTCAAGGATGTAAAGCAGCTGGTCATATCACATCCACAGTAAAGAGCAGAGAGCAATGGGTGAATACATGCATGCCTGCTTCACCATCTTCACTCTTACACATTTAGGATCCCTTGCCTAGGGAATGGTGCCACCCAGAGTGAGCAGGTCTTTCCCACTCAGTTAACTGAATTACTATAATACCCCCATAGAATCCTCACAGGCCCACCTGTCTATATCATTCATCATGGTTAAGATCACTTGCTTCTCTTCCAGAGGACCAGGATTCCTTTCCCAGCACCCATATGGTCACTCATAACCATCTGCAACTCCAATTCCCAGGAATCCAACACCCTTTTCTGATGTAAATGTAGGGAAAACACCCACATATGTAAAATAATAAATAAATGAAATATAGATGATTCCTCACTGAGAGTCCCTTCCCAGATGCCTCTAGATTTTGTCAGATGGCAAAACTAGCCATCGCACAATTCCAAAGTGAAAATTTGAGGGGCATTTAGTACATCCACAGTGTGTTACAACCACCACCTCTCTCTAGTACAAAAACATTTTCACTGCCCAAAAAGAAAATTCTAAACACCGTGAGCAGTAATTTTCTGTTTCCACCTTTCCCCAATCCCTGGAAACCACTGATCAGCTTCTGTTTTCATAGGTTTACTTATACCAGACATTTCCTGTAAGTGGATCATATATGAGACTTCTTCCAACTGGCTTCTTTCATTTCATATGAAGGTGTTTTTCAGGTTCACCCACATCGTACCACATATCAATGTTTCATTTTTTATGACCGAATAATAATCCATTGTGGATATACCATTATATGTCTACAGTTGATGAGTCTACTGCTGCAACGAAACACCATAACCAGAAAGCAAGTTGAGGAGGAAAGGGGTTATTTGGCTTACACTTCCACATTGCTGTTCATCACCCAAGGAAGTCAAGACAGGAACTCAAACAGGGCAGGAACATGGAGGCAGGAGTTGATGCAGAAGCCATGGAGGGGTATTGTTTACTGGCTTTCTTCCCCTGGCTTGCTCAACCTGCTTTCTTGTATAGCTCAGGACCACCAGTCCAGGGATGACACCACCCACAATGGGCTGGGTGCTCCCATATCAATCACTAAGTAAGAAAATGTCCTACAGGCTTACCTACAGCCTGATCTTATGGAGGCATTTTCTCTATTGAGGTCCCCCCTTTCAGATAACTCTAGTTTTGGGTGCCAAGTTGACATAAGACAAGCCAGCACAATGGGCATTTGGGTTCTTTTTATCTTTGAGCTACTGTTAGTAGTACTGTTGTGAATACGTGTATCTAAGAATTCGAGTATCCGTTTTCAGTTTGGTGGGT